CGCCGGTGCTGAAGCTGCGCAACCAGTTTGTCAAGCAGCACTCGGTGCGCCTCTCGCCGTCGACGACGTCGGTGCTGGTCCAGTTTCCGCTGCGGGTGCTGCGCCAGCCGACCAAGCAGGCAGCCGAGTCGAACGCCCCCGATGCAGCAGCGGGAGGTGCGCGGTCCAGCGACGGCGGCGGCGACGCAACGAGGAGCGATGTTGACACGCGCCGCAACGACGCCGTCGAGGAAGGTGATGAGGTCGAGGATGCGAGCGCGCTGGCTTGGCCGTGGCGGTCGAGGATGACGTTCAATGGCCGCGAGATCACGGGCAGGTGGTCGAGCAACCTCGCTCGGCGTGCGCTGCCATCGAAACCGAGCCAGACCGATCTCGACCCCACGAGCGACAGCCACCACCACCACCACCACGCCGAGGTGGGCAGCGTGTCGTGCCAGGTCCGCCTGGTCGCGCCGACGCGGGGCATCAACCGGTTCGAGATCCACATCTGGCCGCACGAGTCGTGCGAGCCCCTCCGTGGCCTTGCGCCCGAACGCTACTGCATCTACATCTCCAGCTGAGGCGTGCCCCGGCGAGGTGGAGCGCAGTGGAGCACGGAGCGAGGCAGAGTGGGCCACAGGAGCGTTGGGAAGCCGGGGGGTTGAGGGGATCGACGTCGACGCTTGCGAGATGCGGGTGCCATCCCCCCCCCCCCCGCCGACGCCCTCTTTGTACTTTTACCATATCATGATATCGTGCCCCTCGTGCTGTTTTGAATGAAGCAAGGGCTTGTGCGTTCGCTCGTGCATCGTCCCTCTGGCACGAGCAGGGCATGGCAGCTTGACAGCCTGGGAGCGCATCGAGCGGGGGGGGGCGGGGCTGGTCAGACCGCGCTCATGCCTACATATGGTCAGAGGCACCGGCGAAATGGCCGGAACCCGAGGCCATTGGACCGCAAACCCAACCTCATCCTCTATCTGCCTCTGCCTCGATGGACTTGTCCGCATAGGGCACTATAGACTAGGCAACAAGACCGACCAGCCAGGGCCATCGAGCGCATGCCTCTTGCGAGATCCAACGACGACCACAAGGCGCTTGCTTGGGTGGGTTTGATGCTTTCGGGACCGCTGCTGAGAAGGTGACTTTAGCCTGGCCACACCTCGCCCCGCCGCGCCCTACCCTGCCTTGCCTGGCCGTGCTGCCGCGGCTAAAATGGGGATTTATCGAAAAAGAGGACCCGCCGCGCCGCCGGGCGTTGCCTGGCCTGGCCTGGCCGCGCGGTCATTTGGCGAGCTGTCGAACTCGGAGAAAAAATCCTCGACGGCCTAAGTACCAACCGCAGGCAGGGCCAGGGCCAGGGCCAGGCCCGGGCTCCTTCCGGACGTCGTTTTTGGCCGGCGCGATTGCCCCGTCGGCTCGGTGGCTCCTCTGCCTGCGGGCCTGCTTGACCGACCGCGACAGAAAGTTTTGCCCACCGTCGTCGTCTTCGTGTTCGTCGTCGTCGTCGCAATGGCCCCCGTCGTTGATTGGACCGCTCAGCAAACCATCCCATCCCCGCCCACCTGCTCGCTGCTGCAAACCGAGAAGCGGAGAGAAAAGAGGGGCAGAGGAACTCAAACGATGTCGTGATCCTCGTCCCCATCGCGCCCTTCTTGCAAAGGCAGGCCACTGGCCAAACGGCAACCAACCCGGCCTGACGTCGGATTGGCCACTCGTCGCCAATGGATGGTGAGGCGCAAGGCGTGCTGCTTGGGCAGTAGATCGACGACCAAAGACGGTCTCGACTCGAGTCCCCGTCCACCGTAGACGAGGACCGCCGAGCCACATGGCCCCATCAGAGAGCACCCTCCGGTCCGGGTCGGGTCCACCTTCTTGCAGCTCATCGCCACCGTATCCTGCCCGCCCGGACACGGCCAAGGCGTGCTAGGTGCAGACAGAGGCCGCGAGCCGCCTGCTGCCTTTGTCCTGTCGACCAAGATCAAATTCGCCATACATCGTCCCCCCGCGTTGGCGACGGCTGGAGTCATACGACGGCAGAGCCACACACAGACACGAGGGCCCCCACCTTGGCCAAAAGTCTATAAGCATCCGCACGGCCGCGCCTCGCCTTTCTTCTCGACCCCACCTTCTCCCCCCTTTGCTTCCGCCCCCCTCGTCGCCCGTCCGTCCGCTCGTCCCTTCTGGTCACAGGGTCAGCCAGCGGCCGCTCTCCTCTCCTTGCCTCCTCACCTCCATCTCCACCTCTCCCCTCTTCCGCCTGCGACCCGCACGCCACTCGCCATGTCCGAACACGACGCCAAGTCGCCCGTCGTCGCGCACGAGGAGGGCGGCATCATGTCCTACGAGGGCCAGCAGATCGTCGCGCCCTCGATCGGCAAGTCGTACCCCTCGACGCCCAAGGAGCTCGACAGCGAGGACGCATCCAAGCAGTCGCGCAGCAGCACCCCCAGCCCCTTTGACCTCGGCCACGGCGGCGTCGGACAGACGGCGCGCAAGCTCAAGAGCCGCCACATCCAGATGATTGGTATCGGCGGCGGTATCGGCACCGGTCTCTTTGTCGGCGCAGGATACGCACTCGCCAACGCCGGCCCCGTCGGCGTGCTGCTGGCCTTCACCCTGGTCGGCTCTGTCTTGGTACCCGTCATGGAAGGCCTTTGCGAGATGGCCGCCTGCCTTCCCGTCTCGGGCTCCTTCATGCACTTTGCCACCCGCTTCATCGATCCCAGCGTTGGCTATACGCTAGGCCTCAACTACTTCTACTGTTACGCTATTGGCATCGCAAGTGAGCTTAGCGCAGCCTCGTCGGTGATCCAGTACTGGAACCAGGACATCAGCATCGCGGTCTGGATCACCATCATGTGGGTCCTGATCGCGGCGCTCAACCTGGTTGGCGTCAACTTCTACGGCGAGTCCGAAGTCATCACTTCGATGGTCAAGATCCTCGCCTTTCTCGGCCTCATCCTCTTCGGCATCATCATCGACCTCGGCGGCGGACCGCACCACGACCGACTCGGCTTCCGGTACTGGAACGACCCCGGTCCGTTTGCGCAGTACGCGGGCATTGCTGGCGCCAAGGGCCGCTTCCTCGCCTTCTTTTCGGCCATCCCCAATGCCGCCTTCACCTACATCGGCGTCGAGACCGTCGTGCTCGCCGCGGGCGAGGCCTCGAACCCGTCGAAGCAGATCCCCAAGGCGTCGAAGAGGGTTCTTTACCGCATCTGCGTGTTCTACATTCTCTCGATCCTGATCATGGGCATGATCGTGCCTTACAACGAGCCGCGCCTCAAGTCCGACGGCCTCTACTCGGCCGCCTCGCCGTGGGTCATTGCCATTGACCGCGCCGGCGTCGCGGTACTGCCGCACATCATCAACGCCGTCATCCTCATCTCGGCCTTTTCGGCGGGCTCGAGCTACGTCTATGTGGCCAGCCGGTCGCTGTACGCCATGGCGCTCGAGAAGCAGGTGCCAAAGGTGTTTGCCATCGTCGACAAGCGCGGCGTCCCCTACCCGGCCGTGCTGTTCTCGCTTTCCTTTGGCGCCTTCAGCTACCTGGGCGTCTCTAGCGGCGGCGGCACGGCGTTCCTCTGGCTCTCTTCGCTCTCGACGGTGGCGGGCCTGTTTGCGTGGGCCACCGTCAGTTGGGCCTACCTGCGCTTCCGCAAGGCGACCATCGTGCAGGGCTACGACCGCAGCGCGCTGCCCTACCGCGCGCGGCTGCAGCCCTACACGAGCTGGTTCGCCATCGTCGCGCTGGCCATCATCATCGTCTTTTCGGGCTGGTCGACGTTCCTCAATGGCAACTTTACCGCCACGAGCTTCCTCACGTCGTACCTGGGCATCCCGCTGTTTTTCGTGCCGTGGATCGGGTACAAGCTGTGGTACAAGACCAAGATGGTGCGCATCGAGGACATTGACCTCGACAGCGGACGGCTGGACCCCAAGGACGAGGTCGAGGAGCCCACGCCCACCAACGCCTGGGGACGCTTCCTGGCCTGGGTCTTCTGAGGCCGGCCCCGCTGCGTCTCCTCTCCCTGCCCTTTCTTTCCCTCCCCCCCCTCTTGGTCCTCTGTCGCTCTCCAACAGCAGCGACGAGGCCTGACCCCATCCCATCCCATCCCATCCCATCCTCATCCTGCTCCTTGTTCCGCGCCGTCTCGCCGGCTCCATCTGCATCCGCAACATGATACCCTCTCTCGACGCATTTCAACATGTACTACTAACCAATCACGACCCCCGGGGTTTCATTTTGCCGCACGCCGTCACCGTCCCCCCTCTTTCCCTCGCCTCTTTCTCCAAGCTCTCTTGTATTCTCCTCGCAACATCCCAAAAGCGTCCGCTGTGGAACGCCTTACGTCTCTATACGAATCGAAGACGCAACGATAGACTTGTTCGATGATGAGGTCGTTGAGCGGTGGCCCCATTTGGGGGGCGAAGGTGTGGGGCGCGTGGAGACGGTCCTCCTGGTCGTCCTGGCCTCCACATGCGAGGTGCTGCGGGCACGACGCATCGACGCCGCTCGGACCGGACCGCCTTTCTGCCTGCCTTCGCTACCGCCTTCCATCGAAAGGGCACGTCAGTCATCGCGGCCTGCCTGCTCTCTTCTTCCTTTGCCATCCTTTGAGACTCTTCCCGCCACCACCATCCTCCACCACCGCCGTTGCTGTCGCTCCTCTTCCTTTTCCACGCCGCTCCATCTCATCTCATCCCATCCCGTCTCCCCCTCTCCCCTCCCTAACGGGCAACGCGATGACCTCGACCTCAACCTCGACCTCGACCTCGGCCTCGGCCTCGACCGCCAAGTCGCAGCGCATCCGGGTCGGCATCATCGGGGCGGGCGAGGTGACGCAGGTGGTGCACCTCCCCACGCTTGCCTACCTCTTTGACCGGTACGTCGTGACGGCGCTGTGCGACGTCTCGGCCGAGGCGGTGGCCTACTCGGCGTCCAAGTGGGGCATCGCGCGCACCTACACCTCGAGCGCCGAGCTGGTAGCCTCGCCGGACGTCGACCTGGTCCTGATTGCGAATAGCGACGAGTACCACGTCTCGTGCGCCCTCGACGCTGCGCGGGCGGGAAAGCACGTCTTTATCGAAAAGCCAATGGCCCTCACCCACCGCCAGGCCCAGGCCGTGCACGACGCCGCGCACCAGCACGGCGTAAAGATCTACGTCGGATACATGCGCCGGTACGCTCCGGCGTTTGACGAGTTCCGCCGCCTGCTGCGCGACTGCGGACCCATCCGCCACGCCATCGTCAAGGACATCGTCGGGCCCAACGCCTTTTTCGTCGCCCAGTCGGCCACCGAGCCGCGCAAGTTTGTCAACGACATCCCCGCCGACGCCGCCGAGGACAAGGCGCGCCTCGCCAGGGACATCCTCGTCGAGGCGCTCGGCGACGACAGGGCCGCATCGCCCCGCCTCGCCGCCGTCTACCGCCTCCTCGGCTCCCTGGGCAGCCACGACCTCAGCTTCATGCGCGAGGCCCTCGGCGGCCCGCCCACGCGCTGCACCAGCGCGTTTGCCTCGCACGACGGCCAGTTCATCTCGGCCCAGTTCGAGTACCACGGCCGCCGCACCACCCAGGCCTCGAGCGCCGACCCCAAACACGAGCAGCAGCCCCCCTTCAGCGTCCTGTACACGACGGGCATCCACAACGTCGGCGTGTTCGAGAGCTTCCTCGAGGTGTACACCGACGACCGCATCCTCCGCATCGACATCGACACGCCCTACGTCAAGGGCCTGCCCCTCCGCGTCACGGTCAAGGAAAACGACGAGCGCGGAATCTACTCGGAGCGCATCGTCCGCACCAGCTACAAGGACGCCTACACGGCCCAGTTTGAGCAGCTCCACGACGCCATCACCACCGGCACCGACCTCAAGACGACGCCCGCCGACGCCGCACAGGACCTCGTCGTGTTTGACATGATCATGCAGAAGCTCGAGGCGTGAGGCGCGGGCCGAGCCTGGCCGAGATGCCCCGACGTCGATGTTTCCAGTTCCATAGATCCGGCCTGTCGTGCCGTCGGCGGCTCGCCCCGGCAACTACCGCCTGGCTTGTCTATTTGCACCCGGCTCCGCCTCGTTCTACAATGCCACGGCGGGTCGGCTGCCCTGCGCGCTCGTCGAGAAGCTTGTTGTCCCCAGCAGTCCCGCATCGGTGGCGGCCCGCGCCGGTCCGCGCCGGCGCGGGTCCCACGCCTCACTTTTTTCTCGCCTTTTCGGCGAGGCGCTCGAGGAGGACGCCGGTGCAGCTGGCGAGGGCGGTGGCCTCTTCCCTTTCGGCAAAGGCGCAGCCCGCCCAGCGGATCTTGGCGTCGGGCGCGACGAGGTACGTGTATCCGACGTGCTTGTTGTGGTAGCCCATGGCGTCGCGCTCGAGCTCGAGCGACTGGTCGCTGAGCAGGTAGGTGCGGTGCAGCGACTCGGGCACCTGCGAACGCAGCGACGAGAGGAAGAGCGAGATGAGGTACGCCTTGAGCGTGTTCTCCTGGATGTTGATCTGCGCGTGCGTGCGGGCGAGCGGGCCCGGGAGAGAGAGGAGAGAGAGAGAGAGAGAGGGAAGGGAAGCGTGTCAGTAGTGCGCGTGGTGAGAGGAGTGTGCCCGGCAGGGAACGAGCGGCAAGCTCGGGGCGTCGTGCTCACCATGACGAGTTGGAACTTGGGGTGGTCGCCGTACGTCCTGAGGGTCTGCTCGTAGAAGCTCTTGGTATGCTCCTCTGATATCTTGGAATTAAGGAGGCAGACGACCGAGACTTTGCCGGGAAAGAGGTCCGAGGTGTGCGTCTTTGAGCGGTCGGCGAGGCAGGATCCGGCAATGTCTGGGAAGAAGAGGGCGCGGTCCTCGCGGATCAGGGTCGAGGGGGCGCGCCACGTCTTGCCGCCGTGGGAGCGGATGGCGTGGAAGTCGTGGAAGTAGCCGCGCGTCGCCTGCTTGACGATGGCGCGGCGCTTCTCCATCCGCCGCTCCTGCGACACCATTTCCTCGCGCCGCTGCGCCCACGTCTTTTTCGCGCTCGTCGGCCGCACCGCCACGCCGAGCGGCGTCGAGAGAAAGGGGAGCGGCAGCTTGTCCAGCTGTGTTGGGGAGGACGAGGATTCCACTACGAGCGGCTTACTTGGCCCCGGCGGTGGCGCTGCTGCTGCTGCAGCGGCGGCGGTGGCGGCGGCGCCGGATGGTGGTTCAGAGGAGGGCGAGGCCGGTGTGCCGCCGCTGCTGCTGCTGCTGCTGCTGCTTTCCGCCGAAGAAGAAGCTGAAGGTGTCGACGTGGCTGTCGAGCTCGATGAAGCCGAGGAAGAGCCCTTCTTGGCAGACGAGGCTGAGGAAGAGGAGGAGGAGGAGGAGGCAAGGCATCGCGGCGAAGGACGGGAGAGGGATCGTGCCGCCGACCGCAGGGAAGCAGACGAGGGCGAGGAGCAAGGAACGGCGGGGGCGGCAGCGGGCAGGAGCGTGGTGCGAGCCAGCAGCGTCGAGCAGCTGGACGCGGCCGATCGGAGCATCGTGATCCTTGTACGTGCGTGCTGCGGCCTGGTCCGAGGGATGACGAGGTAGGGAGGGTGGAGCGCGTGCCGTGGCAGTGGTTGCGGTGGTGGGCAGGGGAGCGGCGAGAAGCAAGAAGGAAGCTTTCCTCTTTGCTCCGCAGGCCAGCTCGCCATCCCGTCCAGCCCGACCCGCACCGCTGCTTTCCCGACACCCGAGAACGTCACCAGGGCGCTTACATAATCATCCACCCGTGCGCCCTTCAGCACGAATCGTCCTTCGAGCAGATCACGGCGCGGCTTCCGACAGGCAAACAGGGCAGAGGGGGCACTGTTTCGATGGCCGGACAGGGCAACAACGGGGTTGTAAAAAGACATGGTGAGAAGGAAAAAAGAAAAGGGCGCAGAGCGGAGGAACGGAAGCAGAGTACGGCAAGCAACGAGGCGCACTGGGCGGGCAAGTGAGAGAGGGAGAGGTAGACGGGGCGTAGGCGGCGTCTGGCTGTCCGCTTTTTCTTCAGTTGGCAATGCGATCATACGACCAGATGCGGGCGCTGCGCGGCGGGGCGAGGCAAGGAGCCACGAGGGGGGTTCAGGGCGGTCAGCACGCGGTCAGCATGGTCATGTTCGACGGGAGGCAACGACGGTGCGGCCGAGGGTCAAACTCACTTGAAGTCGCCGCTTCCCGTCGCCAGCAAGCCACCGGCAGGGCTGAGGTTGATGGCAATTACTGTGAATGCAGCGTGGGGCAGAGGGACGGGCGATGCAAGGTCAGAGGGACGTCGCCACGGTCGCATGATGCTGGGGCGGCCCAGGCAGTACGATCACTCACCCGAATTCTTGTGGCCCTGCAGCACAAACTGCGTCTGGGCCGTCTTGGGGTCCCAGAACTGGACGCCGCGGTCCTTGGATCCCGAGGCCACCCACTGCCCGTCCGGTGAGCACGAGACGGAGAGGACGTAGTCCTACAGGTGCGGTCGAGGTCGAGGTCGACAAGGTGGAACAGGAGGAGAAACGAGAAAGGGCGCAAACGAGGAGCAGTCAGCGCCTGTGTGCGTCACGCGGCCCACGACGGAAAGCGGGGGGGATCCGTTCTCACCTTGTGCCCGAGGAAGGTGGTGGCGCACGTCGCCTGGCCGCCCTTGTCCTCGGCGCGGCCGCCCTCCTGGGCCGCCTTGCTGGTGCCCGTGAGGTCCCACAGCTTCAGAGTCTTGTCCAGGCTGCCGCTGATGAGGCTCTTGCCGTCGGGCGCGAAGCTGACGCTGTAGATGCTGTCCTTGTGGCTCTTGAGCCGCTCGAGCTGCTGGCCCGTCTGCGTGTCCCACACGCGCACCAGCGTGTCGAGCGCGCCCGCCGCCACCAGCCGGCTGTCGGAGCTGATGCTGACGCTCGTCACGCCCGCCTCCGACGGCCCGTGCTCCAGGCCGGGGCTCGTGTAGAGCGTGTGCAGCATCTGGCCCGTCTCGACGTCCCAGATGCGCACCGTCTTGTCGCCCGAGCCCGACGCAATGATGCGGCCGTCTTTGGAGTAGTCGAGCGAGTAGATCTCCTGCTTGTGGCCCGACAGCAGGTTCTTGACCTTTTTCTTGGCAATGTCCCAGATCCGGATCTGGCGGTCCTCGGCGCCCGTCGCCAGGCACTTGCCGTCGGGGCTGAAGCAGACGCTGCGGATGTAGAGGTCGCCCTTGCTGTTGGCGTTCTGATCGGTCAGCACGCACGTCTTGGCGCCCGTCTTGGTGTCGTAGATCTGCGCGCTCCGGTTGCACCCCGTCGCCAGGTACTTGCCGTCGGCCGAGAAGCGGACGCAGCACACGACGCTGCGCAGGGGCGGGCGAGCGCCATCGAGACGAGGGAGACCGGCACTGTCAGCAAGCGGATATCACGCCCGAGGCAACCACCGCCACCGCCACCGCGCGCACACTCACCTCTCATGCAGGAACGTGTGCACCAGATTCACGTCGAGCACCCGCTTGACCTTGGGGTTGAAGATGGCGAGCCAGTCGCTGCCCTCCTTCTTCAGCTCGCGCGGCACATCATCCGGGTCCATGTCGCTCAGGTTGGCCAGGCTGACGTTGCCTGCAGCCGCGCTGGTGCCGGCTCCGGGCGAGACAGTGCCGCTGGCCGAGAGCGCGGCACCGTCGGCCGTCGGTCGTTCCGTCGCCGGCCCGCGCTCGCGGTCACGCCCCTCGCGATGCGACACTTCGCGGCTGTACGACGAAGACGGCGGGAGCGGCGGAGGACCGTGCGGCGACTGCGCCGGACCGGGTCCGGGACCTGGGCCCGGGCCTATGCCTGGAGGGCCCCCGCGCTCGCGGTCACGATCCCACTTTTCCTCTCTCGGTCCGCGCTCGCGATCCCGCTCCTCCTTCTTGATCCAGCTGTCGCGCTCGCGCTCGCGTTCAAACCCCGGGCTCGGAGGTCCGCCGTGGTACGATCCCGGTCCTCCCTCGACCCGCATCCGCTTGCCATCCTTGGCGTTGGCGGGTCCTCCAGGCCTGCCCGCCTCCCGCTCCCGGTCGAAGCCGTTTTGCCCTCGTCCGTACGAGTCTGGTCCGCCGGGTCCGGGGCCGCCATTGCTGCTGGGCCCTCCAAAGATGCCTGCGCTGGATCCGGCGCCCGAGCCCGAAGCAGGCGGAGCCGCTCCGGCCGAGGCGATCGGCGGAGGTCCAGATGCACCTGATGCGGGGAGGTGCGGCGGACCACCGACGGGAGCGCCAGGAGGCGCTGCGGCGCCGTGTTCGGCCGACAGGCCGCGAGAGTCGAGGATGCTGCGCAGCCTCTTGACTTCTTCCTCGTACCTGAGCGGGCAGAGCAGGCAGCCGGGTCGAGAGGCATGTCAGCCCTCATCGACGCAAAGCGCAGACGCAAACACCGGGCGGCAGCGGCAACTTACTGCTGGATGATCTGGGTGTGCCTCTTCTCGAGCTCAAAGATGTGTGTCTGCATCAGGACCACCTCGTTCATCTGCTGCGTAACTGTGGCAGAACAAAAGCGCGGGGGGCAAAGATACGTTGTCCGGGCCGGGATCATTCAAGGGTCAGCCGGCTATTCCGTCCATGCAGCGAGTCCAGAGCGATTCGACCCCCCTTGCACACAGGATGAGAAAGCGCGGAAAAGGTGCGACACTGCGCAAAAGCTTCGACACTCACTTCGATGCTCCATCTCGTCTCTTTGAGCCTTGAGCTGGGCAGCGTCGTTGCCGAGCAGGTCAAACTCGTGCTTGACGAAATCGAGCAGGTCGGAAAGGCGTCCGGAGCTGGCATTCTGGGCGGCAGCAGCAGCCGCAGCAGCGG